TTTTTGAGTTGGACAATTTTGCCCTAATTTTTGAGTTGGACAATTTTGCCCTTGGAATTTTATGAAATTCCCAAATTGCCCTTGGATATTTTTGGAAAAGATTCGATCCGGGCCGTCGATCTTAAGATAAGAATGAATCTCGACCGTCGATTGGATTTGTGAGGAAAGGGCATGATGGTCATTTGCCCTCAATTATTGGTTTTTGACCATTTAAGTCCAAACACACACACACACTCTCTCTCTCCTCATTCTCTCTCATCTCTCGGCTCTATCTCTCTCTCTCCCTCCCCTCACCACCGACCGTCCCTCCCTCTCGGCCACGCCACCGCCGTCCGGCTGCCGTCTGCCCGATCGCCGCCGCACGGTCACCGAGCCACCACCACCCTCTCGCCGTTCCCCTCACCCTCTCGGTTCTCTCTCCCCCTCTCCCGTGGCCGTGAGGAACCGGCCCAAGTCGCCGCTCACCGCCGCCGCCGCCGTCGCCGACCCAATCGCCGCCGTCGATCGTTGCCGCCGCTCACCGTTGACCGCCGCTCGTTTTTCGCTCTAGCCGAGTTAGTCTAGAGTTCAGTAAGTCGCGCCCTAAACTTTATTTAGGACTTCGGGTATTGACGAACAAATTTGAGGTGCAATCGGGTTTAATTAGACGCGGATTAGTATGGTTTTAGGGGCGGAATTGATTAGCGGGCCTAAGGAAGAATTTGGGAGATTTCGGTGGAAAATTAGAGGCCAAAAGCGGGCTGTGAGTGGCTGAAATGTGTGCTGTGATGTGCTGTCCGGTATGTAAATTGTGTATTTGGATTCGGCGATTAATTGTGTGAAAATGTCGTGAAGGGCTGAAATTGATTTGCCGTGGTTTGGGTGTGGAAAAATGGCAATTTGTATGTGGATTGTGTGTTTGTAATGTGGCTGTGATTGTGGGCTCGTGAGTGGCCATATATGTTTGTCGAGTGGTGGATTGTATGATTAGACTTTGTATTGTTATATGCACGCTTGAGCCTAATTGAATCAATTGTCGATTGGCCGTGTTGAATGCTTATTGAGCATAAGAGATGTGTGTGAATTGGTGCGTGCACGGGCCACGTGTGATTGGCCAATTTATTGGCAAGTGAGTATTGAGCATGTGAATGGATGAGAAATCGTGTGTGACACGGTATGTGTGATTTCGGAAATCCCTGAGGCGGTACCACTACGCGGGGATATTGATCCGTCCTGAGGCGGTACGACTACGCGGGACGATGCCCGGTATTACCGGAGGACGGCCAACCTAAGGCGGTACCATTATGCGGGTTGTGTCATAGATGGTAGATGTTGAGCCTGAGGCGATACCACTACGCGGGCCTTGAAGTGTTGTTATGAGTTAGTCGCAGTGTACCTGAGGCGGTATCATTACGCGGGTCACTGGCGAGTTGAGTGCGAGATGGTCGCAGTGAACCTGAGGCGGTATCATTACGCGGGTCACTGGCGAGTTGTGGTGGAAAAGAATGTGATGAGGCCGGAACGAATGCATGAAACGTAATTAGAACGTGCATGTGATTGGAAATGGTGTTGTTGTGACTAACGTGCAGGTGGCACGCTGGAAAGGTCCAGGTAAGCATAATTGAGTGCCTGTTATGTGATGGCTGAGTGTGATTGTGTTTGTGATTGTCTGGAGGTACGTGATAGCCTAGGTGGGGTTTAGGGTGTGTGCTTGCTAAGATGTATTCTCATGGTTGTTTCAACCAACAATTTCAGAATCCCGGCCTGAGCCATGAATCCTCCGCCGCCGCCTGAGCGTTTTGGAGTACCAGTGCACACCGACCACAATATTGTAGAGTTTCCTATAGATGATAATATGACCTGGGTTAAAGCATACGACGGTAGTTTAGGTAGACGTAGGACTACCCCTCTTGCAAGCCAACACGTTCACGGCTTGGTTCTTTCGAGACGGGATAGACGAGTTTGGTCCCGTCCGTGGATTTGATGTCCCCTTTGATGGAGTTGGGGACTGGGACCCGTCTGCTATACCTCCTCCTGATGGCGAGTTGACTAGTGTGGAGACTAGTCTGGCGCAGTCTAGATTGCAACATGCGCCTACAGCACCTGAGCCCTCGGAGGCCGAGCATGAACCAGAACCTGACGAATCGCAGGCGGGGTACGATCCAATGGACGTGGATCTCGAGGCGATCCCAGAGGAAGAACCGGAAGAAGAAGAATCCGAGGCAGAACCCGAGGATAAACCCGCTGAGCCTGAAGGAGAACCGGAGTATATACCCCCGTATGAACAGTGGATTGACCCCGAGTTTATACCAGAGTACAGGTCTGATGAGGAGTCCGACTCGGAGGAGCGGGACGACGTTCCAGTGGAGTCGGGTGACATCAATCACCCGATCGAGATTGAGGCCGAGCCTGAGTCCTCGGAGGAGCAGACAGTCCAGGGGGATTCAAGTTCAGAGGACAAAGAATCAGACTCGGAGTGGACGCCAAGCAGAGGGCGTAGGGGCTAGGTTTAGAGGTTGGATTATGCTTTTTGGAACGTACCATTTTTTATGATAGAATACCCAGATCATCGATCGTTTTGGTTATCGATGGTATATAGTTCGGTGTGCTTATGTATATGATGGTTGTAAACTGTGAATATTTTATAAGTTTCAATGAGGAATGAGTATGTTTATTCTCCTTAATTACCCCAGTTTTATTTGTCCGGGTATTGGTGGCTTTCGCTGATCGTTTCAAATCTCTGATAAGTTCAATTGGGTCGGCGATACCCTGGGACATCGCATTATTCGACCAGAGAAGAGTGTCGCGGGCTCGAAGGGGTTCAGGGCGTGACAGTAAGTACTGACGAGAAGCATACCTTGATCACTCCATAGATGTTGGATGTGGTGCTGTTTGGATAAAGATTAGAAGCCTTGATTATCTTTTAGATTTCGCACTCTTAGGCTGCGAATGATAAACATTCTGTTTCTCTATTTCTATTCCATAAATAGGTTTGAAATATAAATCCGTTTGGTAACGCAATTTCATTTTCTATTTCTGGAACAAAATTTTGTTCCAGAAATAGATTTAGAACAAAAATAAGAAGTTCATCCTCGCTATTAGCTGGTCGCCCACCCACCGTCCACTTGCCAGCAGCTGCCTCTCGCCATTCGCCGTCTCTTGCCGCCGGCTGCTGTCGCCGCCCGCCTCCTGCCGCCAGCTACCGTCTCCCACTGCCGCCCACCTCCCACCGTTAGCCGCAGTGGGCCACCGCCCGCCTCCCACCGCTGGTCGCCGCCCATTGTCCATCGGCCACCGTCACCCGCTGCCGGCCGGCCTTCTCCCGCACTCGCTCGTCTCCCACCGCCGGCCATCATCTCCCGCCGCCGACCGCCCTCCTCCCTCCACCGATCGCCTCCCGTCGCCAACCACCTCCCGCCGCCGTCCACCTCCAGTTGCCGCCTCCTCCCACCGCTGCCCGACAGCCGCTCTCCTCCTACCGCCGCTCGCCTCTCACTACCGCCAGCTGCCGCTCGCTTCTCACTACCGCCAGCCGCCCTCCTCCCGCCGCCGTCCGCCTCTAGCCGCAGCCGCCTCCCACCGCTGCCCGCAAGCCGCCCTCCTCCCGTCGCCGCTCACCTCCCCCTACTGGCCGTCGCCCGCCGTCCACCAGCCACCGTCTCCCACCGCCGGCCACCATCTCCTGTCTCTGACCACCCTTCTCCCGTCATCGCCCGCCTCCAGCCGTCGCCCACCTGCCACCGCCGGCCACCGTGGGTCGCCGCATGCCATCCACCAGCCACCGCTCCCGCCACCGCTTGCCTCCCCCCATCGGCCGCTGTCCACTAGCCACCACTCTCGCCTCCGGCCGCCCTCCTCCCCTTGCTGGTCTCCGTGGGCCGCCGTCCACCAGTCACCGTCTCTCACCACCAACCACCCTCCTCCCGCCGCTACCCTTCTCCCGTCGCCGGCCGCCGTCCTCCGCACTAGCCGCGTCGCCGTCCATTGCCGCTTTCCCCCGCCGTTCGCCGCCTGCCATTCACTGCCACCATCTGCCACCTGCTGTCCACTCACCGGCCACCCAAGAGGGAGAAATTTTATACCGTTATCAAACAAAATTGTGTTTCGGGAACAGAAATTTTATGTCGTTATCAAACGTGTTTTTTTGCTCAGAAACTCGTCCAAGAACAGAAATAGAAAAATAAATTTCTGGCCAGAAATTAATTTCTGAAACAAAATGATTGTCATTCACAGCCTTAGTTAAGCTACCTTGAATCTGGATATCCCATGTGTATGTTAATAGGTCATATCCAATGTGTATGTTAATCAGTCTTGAACTATTTGTCAAATTCAAATAAGTAGGCAGCATTCATGTTCGTACTTATTTTCCTACCGTATCTTGAACATCATATCACCGTCAATGTTTTAGTCCCTAATGCAGAGATCCAAGTCCTGCGCTAGTTCTTGATCATGGATATGCAAGTACAAAGAGGACAACATTCTCATTTTCTCGAACTGGTCGGCACATGACGAGATATCTTGATTGGATCTGTATAAGATCGTATTAAGAAGTTAGCTTTCTTAACAACATACGGTCAAACTCATACTTACCACAAACCTAAGATATCAAAAAGTCAGATACGTATGTATGTCAAAAAGCTGACCACCTCAAACAAACAAGCATATTTCTTTATCATGTAATCACTATGTAGCCTATAGATTGGTTTACTTTTATCATGTAATTTCGTGCTTGATTCAGTGGAACTCAAATGATTTTCGACCTGCCACCACCAAGGCAAGTCTCACTTGCCTCCAATGTTACAAAAGCTCACCATATCAATGATATTAACACCACAGAGAGATTCTGTAGGTAATAACAAAAATATCAATCCGAAAAAGAGAGGAGACAAAATCCACTTGTGAAAGTAGGAGAAACAATCCCATGCTCCCTTTATATCTCAAGAGAATCCTTGAGACTACTACTGATTACAGAGACATGGATAAGAAAAGTGACTTTATGGCGCTCAACAGCAGATACGAAAAGAAGGAAGATGAGATTGCACCAAACTACGTTATTGCCTATGGCTATGTCGTCCCTTTCAGATTATCTCTTTGCTTTACCGGCAATATAGTTTAATGCCAACCTAGAAAACCGAGTGAGGGTTAGAAGCATCTGCAGGAGTGATCTACCCTTAACTATTCCCTCGCGTAGCCCTTTTGCAGTTCTAGCCAATGCTGGTCCTTTAGGCTCAGTTTCCTGCCTTGGTATCCCCTGCAATACGGCTAATCAAGTAAAAAACAAAGTAAAACTCGATGATCCCAGGCAAAAGAAAAGGAAAGGAAAATGACCATGTAAAAAATCCAGAGAAAAGCTATGGGAGGAGAAAACCTGGTGGGACCATGTTGGTCAACTGGCGCAATCTCTCCTCAGCTATGCGAACAGCTCGAGTGGTTCTCCTAACACCTTGAGTTATGTCCTGGCTGGGGAAGTTTCAAGAAGGTGAAATGATATCATGTGAGATGGATTTTTGAGTGGTATTACAGAAAAAAAATGGGTACAATTGCAGACCCCAGATCGCTAAGTTCCATAGTCAGGTCACTGATTTCCATCCCAGATAATCGAACAGCAGCCATTGTGTCAGGAAGCTCCTCTCTAGTCACATCCATCAGCTTCTCTAGTGATTCAGCTGCCCTCTTGAAAGCCTATAGGAAAGAAAATGGACGAAGAAAGGAGGGAAAAATGACACAAAAATTGATACATCAACAGAAGCCAAGTCAAACACAGCATCAATACAATGTACTCATTACAGCGAGCGAAAATATATATCATACCAGAAGAGTAGGAATGGCAGAACAAAATAGCCATGTTGCAGAAAGTGCAGCCTGCAGAAAAGAAAAGGTACCATTTAGCATCAAATTAGAGCCTAGAAAGTAACGTTCGAAGTAACATCCATTAGCAGAAGATACAAGTTCCAATAGTGATGCTCGCTTCCTGTAATGAGTCTCAAATACCTACTCATAATAATACACCAGAAATCAATGAAGATAAAAAGGAAAAGAAAACTCCCAAATATCCGAATATCTGTGGAAGATCAATGTTACACAAGGTTAAATGGATATAAATCGGTCATTCTTTTTCTTAAGATACATTAGGGGCATTTGATAAAGTCACTGCCACACACCTCCATGCATTAACAGGATAAATATATCTGATAACACAATCTACAAGTAGACTAGTATATAACAATATGCTCCTGATGTCTCACATTTCAAGTCCTTTAAGAATTAAAAGTATATGCCTTTACAAGTATTCCATCGTAATAGTGGCGGCATCATGAACTTTTCTGTTTCATTACCAAGAAACTTCACTCAGTATCTCAATGCACAATACCACCAAACCCTGTATCGCTTACAACTGCTCAATATGACAATGTCGAGATACTATTTCAGAAGAAGCAACCGCAGCTAGTATGATCAACCTTGTGAGATGTAATCTCGACCAAGTTCAACTGAAAGCTATCAGTTATACAGAAAACAAGAAAAACACTGTGCAGTAGAGCTAGGAATCTGCACATCCGGTGGGTCAAACAAAACAGAGAACAAAAAGGCCAGCTCAGAGTCAGGGGGTTGTGGAATATAAATCCAAATTTTTAATGCGATAGAAGAATGATAAAAAATAACGATGCTCAGTAAAGGAAAACAGTACGCTCAGCTTGATTAGTTTAAAAGGAAGAAAGTTTGGGAAAAGTCTTCCAATCAAGGGATGAAATGTCCAATTATGGTTGACCACGCGTTTTCCTGACACATTATGACATCTCAAGAGATCTAATCTAGTGTCAGGCCAAGATAAAACAAGAGCAGACATTGTAAACCAGAGGAGAACTCCTAGAGAAATTTCACTTGCCTTAGATCTTGTTCATTCCATTGACAAACACCAAAATGCAGCCTGGGCTACTACATACTGGTTCACGCAAAAATTGGCCCCTAAGAATTAACATTTGCATTGCCGGGTCTCGTGACTAACCTGGGAAGTTTCACTTGACTTCTTTATGTAACACAGCTTATCCAATAGAGAACGTATTACCGGATTCCAGAAGAACAGAAAGATAGGGGAGATCTATACCAAGAAACCACTTGACTTGCAATTTCTGAATTTTTGAAATTGAACAACATCTTTCACCAAATTTCAAATATCCCCTTCTTTCTACCGAAAGCCACAAAGGGAAAAATAAAAAGAAGTTGGGTGATTAAAGTCAAGTGAACCTCAAGATTGAACTATCCCAAATTGGCAAATCCCTCCAATTCTGATGACACAGGATAAGGTTAATCTTCGTAACAGCTTTCAGTAATACAGTTTCATGCAGTTCAGGTTAAAAATATCGCGAAACAGACTCGAGGGCTCAACTCAGGCTTATCATCCGATGCGATCACCAAAGGTTGCTGATTCACACAGCATAACACACCCCTAAGAATTCACACAGCTGATTCATGGCGAGGAAAAAGAAGATTTTGCTATACCCAGCTTAGGGGGCAAGATATAGAAAATCTACATGATCATAGTTCCGGCGATAAGTACTGTATTTGGGTGTAGACAAAAGTAAACAGCTACAAAATGCCAGAATCAATGTAAAATGGAAAATCTAGCATCATCTAATTTGCCCCAACCTTTCGTAAACCCCAACCTGCAACAACAATTCTGGGCAACGCAAATCATTCTTCTTTCAACCGAGCAACATTACTATCAGCAGTCCATCAATCACTGAATCGCGAAACAGAGGAGAACGCGAGGGGAGAGGGAGAGTACCACACAAGCGATGACGTTCAGCATGAGAACATGGCGCTGAGTGAGGTTCCACTGGGAGAGCTGAAGCGCCGCCGTGGAGGACGACCCGACGGACGAGGTGTACTGCGACGACACCGACGGCCCGGAACCCGCCTCCTCCACGGCCGCTCCACCGTACACCGACCGTACGGACAGCGAAAGGGACCGGCGAGGTCGAGGCCGCCGCCGCGGCAGCCGCCGGAGAACTGGCGGCCGGCGGGCCGGAAACGACGGCGCGGTGGATTCACGGTCGGAGCTCAGATGGGTCGAAGCATTCGATGCTTGCAATCTCGCCGCACAATACATTCTCTCTCTCTCTCTCTCACAAGGTGTCGCCTCACGAAATCCGACCTCTGTCCTCGGACCACAGCGACGACGTGAAGGAAGGTTTGGCACCTCCATTTCTTCCCTCTCGTTTTTTTTTCCAATTGTTGTTTTTCTAAAAAACGATAATTACATAAACGGTCCATGAATATTAGCTCAATATATAATATCGTCCCCGAACTTTTAATTTATTTAATGTGGTCCTTCAACTTTGGCCCAATGTGTAATGTGCTGTTCCTGAACTTTTGATAAATATTCAATTTAGTTCCTAAATTATATGGAAATATCAAATAGTATCCTTCTATTAATTTGAAGTTCAAAGACAATATTAAATATTTCCATATAGTTAATGACTGAATTGAACATGTATGAAAAGTTCATGGACCACACTAAATAAATTAAAAGTTCAGGAACGATACTGCATATTGGGTTTGAGTTTATGGATTACATTGAACAAATTAAAAGTACGAGGACGACATTGTACATTGAACCAAAATTCATGGACCATTTATATCATTTTTCATTTTAAAAAAATTAATTATTCATTTAATTTATTTTTAAAAATGGTAATTACCCTCTTCATATTTCACTACCTTAATATAGCACCTCTTGAATAATAAGGAAAATTCTTTTTGGTGCATATATATCTAAGCTACCGTTTTTAAATTCAAAGGATTAATTTACTCTACTTTTCGATAACGAATATACACACGATAATTCATATTATATATCTTTCATATATTTGCATAATCAAATTTTCTCTTTTTAAAGCTATATATATTTGTTTCTAAAAAATAGTCAGTAGTGGATGTACCATATTTGTACGGACACATACGCCTTTTCATGACATTACACATTTTGGACATTTGCTTCCCTTCCCATTGTAAATCGTGATTTGACATAGTCCATGAATTTTAATTCAATATGCAAGTTATTAATATTTATTCTTACAACAAAAAATGACCAAGTATTTGTAGTAGACACGATGCCGATCAATATGAGCATAGAGCTCGGTGTTAAGTACGATTTGATTATCGATAAGTTATCGATGCATAAATACTCGTCGATGACCAAAGTTATCAATAACCATAGAATACAATCATCGATATATGACGGCAATTGGTTGACAATTGTCACCAAGTGTTGGATGTGGAATGAAGAAAGACAAAAGTGAAGATGCTGATTGAAGATGAAGGTACCGAGTGACGATTAAGTCTAATGGCATCCAAAGAGTTGTAATCGCTTGCAAATAAGGTCGACGTGTGATCATGGAGTCTAAAGTTTAGAGATTGAAGTCGCAACTCTTTGTAATCGCATGAAGAATATTAACTACTCATGAGCAGTTACGCTGTGTAGACTACAAAAGCTAGTGGGTGTGTATTGTAAAGGGATCCATGATCATAAACACAAACTTATTATTCTCCCAGTTTCAGTTTATTAATATTTCAGTTTCCTATATTTTCATTTCTTTTCTTTTGGATTTAGTTGTTCTTGATCCTTGTTACCCAATTCAATTCCTATTTGAATCGCCACCGAACTCGATTCATAAAAAAGTAAAAAATCAACCTTTGATGAAAGGTATTTCACTGATTCCTAGTATACAGTTTGCGTGAATAGGCACTTCTTTTTGAAGCAATATGTTCGAACAAACACGCCCTTTCGTACCTTTAGTAATATATTTCCGTGAATCTTTTTGTTTCCTCTTCTTTCTTTGATCTTAGTAAAAAATGCATATAGCAATAAAGATTAGTAATTTCCTTCATGTTTGCAGGAGCAAACACCTCTCTTTGAAAAGGTGAGTTTGCAAATACAAATTTCTTCATATTTTCTGGTGTTTATAATTTGTGCAGTATGTTTTTTTTATGGGTTAATATCACGAAAAATCCCAAACTATTACACCAGTGACAATTTTACCCCGAACTAATTTTTTGACCACCAAAAACCCCAAACTGGTACACCTGTGATAAATTTACCCCGAATTATTTTTTTGACCGCCAGAAATCCCAAACTGGTACACCTGTGATAATTTTACCTTAAACTAATTTTTTGACCACTAAATATCTCAAACTGGTACATTTGTGATAAATTTACCCTTCGTTAGTATCCGTTAAATTAGATTAATATCACGAAAAATCACAAATTAGTAAACTTGTGACAAACAGATGGGTAAAACCCCAAACTGGTACACCCTTCAACTAATACATGTCATCAAACTTAGTAATTTGAAAGTACAATTTAACGGAAACTAACGGAGGGTAAATTTGTCACGGGTGTACCAGTTTGTAGTTTTTGGTGGTAAAAAAATAGTTTGGGGTAAAATTGTCACAGGTGTACCAGATTATGATTTTTTGTAGTCAAAAAAATAGTTCTGAGTAAAATTATCACATGTGTATCAGTTTGGAGTTTTTCGTGGTATTAACCCTTTTTTTATTATCTAATTTGCAATTCCTCTTGTTCGTCTAGTTAAACAAATTTGTCTGACCATACTAACCTTGAGTGTAGTCAACTTATAGGTGCAATTGAAATTCTCCTCCCATAGCTTCCATTCCAGTGCAACGACATGCAACCATTACTAGTTATATGAAAAATGTTTTCAAAGTAAGTTACTTTCAAGGTTAATTGTCATTTTAAGGTGTCTACCATCGGAGCACATTGAACACTTAATTGTCATTTTAAGGTGGCTACCATCGGAGCACATTGAACACGTTTTTAGAAGATGGACCCGATTCCAATGCAAGAACTCGGAACCCGTGGATTCAGGACAGTAATGCTGGATCTAGAGCCCTGCCTCCGAGGACCTTGCGTCCCTTGACTCTGGCCATCAAGGTCTAGGGGCCAGGGGGCCTGGTTTCAAGTCCAGGTATCGAGTTCCTAAGTTAAGGGGTAGGGTCTCAGGTTAGGTCCCAAAGTCCCAACTCTAGCCCCTAAGGATCAAGTCCTCCCCCATGTCTAGATTTTCGGGGTCCCAAAAATCCAAGGTTTACCGTGTCGACCAGTTCAAACCAAGAAGAAGAAGAAGAAATAGAGAAAGAAAGAAAATACCACATACCACAAGACCCTTCTATTCCATGAATTGATAATTCTCGTACCGCATCCTACAATCCTTCAACTGAAATTGCACACCGATACTCCAATCGCACATTACCTTGATCGTTTCACAAGCACTTTGCAAACAATAGAAGCAATCTCCATTCGTGATCCTTCCACTGCACGCCGCATGACCATAACAAGTAGAATCGCCAGAGGAATGCTGGTAGTAATAATCGTAACTATTGTTCCCCGTGAACGCAATCAACTTGTCGGTCACGTCTGCGACATCGTAGGTGTAAGAGCTCGAAGAATTGTACTTCTCTCTATTGCACAAATGATCTACGAAGGTCGTGTCTGGATCGCTTCTCCCAACGTTGCAGATGCAACCACAAACGACCCCACAAATCATGAATAAGATTGTTGGAAAAGAAGCCATACAAAACTAGCGATGTACCTTCTTATCTTTCTATGGAATACCAACGAAAAACCCCGAAGTTGGTAAGCTGAGAACTTGTAATCTGCTTTAAGTATGTGAAATCAGCAGAAACGTATTATCTAACTCTCTTTTGTACTGATGTGATTTGGATTGCTGGTCTTCCTAGGAAACATCTCCCACTATGCTGACAACAATTCCTTGGTTTTATCGATACAAGAGCTTGAATTGGTCTCAACAGTCGATGCTTGCCATTTCACCCCCACAATCTTTTCTCTCTCTCTCTATTAAATCATTTTTCAAGCTCTCCTTGGGTCGATGGACTGGGCATTGTAATCAGGAGTGAGCGGTTTCAGATTCCATACATATTTTAGTTGAAACCTGAAACTTACCCATGAGAATAGGTTCATCATTTTTTTGAAACCTAGAACCTACCTTACATACCTTGAAACCTGAAACCTACCCTGTCACAGGTTCCAGAGTCGGTTCTAGAGTCTACCCGAGTTTTGAACAATTGTAGTAAATCGTCACCTTTAATGACTATCACTTGCTGTTACGATCCACTAACCACAACTTTTATTTAGAGACACGAAAAATATAAAACATTAACAAGTCATAAAATGAAAACTCATACTAGTGGTTTCAGATTATACGCTCATCATTTAACGCCATGGAACACCGCAAGATCATGCGAAGATATAAACCAAGAAAAACACAAAAAAACTTGTTTAAGGTTTCAAGTTCCAGGTTTCAGATTCTAGGTTCCACTTACCTAGAATTTATAACCTACCCGTCGAAACAGGTTCTTCAATTTTGAAACCTGGAACTTACCCTTGACGTAACTAACAAGGATCACCTAGAGGTGGGTGAATAGATGATCTGAACAATTTTTGAATAATTTAAAATCGTAAACAATTAATCACCTGTAAAGTCTCAACAATGTTCAGATTCTAAGCAGTTTATATAGACAATGTATTAGTGTGCAGTATGTAAAATAAAAGTTTAGGGAAAGAGACTGCACACAAGAAGTTATAGTGGTTCGGCTTAGATCAAACCTATGTTCACTCTCCCACGCTGACAGCCTACTAGCTGGATTTCACTATATGACCGAGAAGAATTACAAGTTCTGAGTGATAACACTTTGTGAATGATATAATTCTCTATCTCACATAATCACTCTTACAAAATATCTCTCAAGATCTCAGTGTTTTGCTCAAGAAAGACAACTAATATAATCGGAGTATGCTCAGACTTTGGACTTGTTGATTCTTGATTTTCGTTCAGTACCTTCAGCTCCTCGTTAATCTCCTTTTATACTCATCCACGTCCAAACTTGTGACATCCCCGATTTCGGGCCTAGGAAGTCGAGGGCTGGAAATAAGTGGATTAGCGGGTAAGTCGAGTTGAGGGTCGGTATTGGAATGGACAGCATGATCGGAATGAGTGTACTGAGGGTTGGTCGTGGTTCGATCGAAAGATCGTCCATGAGTTGGCCTAGGGATTGACAGTGGAATGACCCCTGACTACGCAAATGATTAGAGTGATATGACCATGGGGTGATCCTTCGACCATAAGGGCCGTTAGTGGGCGGTCCGGGATAAG